TCAGTACATACAGACAACATGTCCCAAATGCCCCAGGTTCGCCACTGCACCCCAAATAAAGGATTTAATCTAGCCTTCCAAGATTTAAATTCCGAAATACCACGAGAGAGACGAAATATACGGGAAGGGAAAACGTTAAGATCAAACCAAGATTGGGTTAGCAAGAGCTTACCCCCGCCGAGGGCATCGAAGGAACCCTCAGGCAACTTGTCTCGGTTTTTCGCGAAGGGCGCGAGCCCAAATCGAGTCCTTCCGGACGACGGGGTCGCCCTCCCGGAGCGCGTCGGGGGAGGATGACCGGCTTGGGGGCCCGCTTTCGGCCTAGACATCGGAGCTCCCCCCGTGGTGAGAAAGCCGCCGACGACCCTAAAAGCTATTCCCCGCCGCTGGTCACCTAGGTCGCCGAGAACGTCGCTGGATCGCCTCGTTGGAGTACACCCGAAAACCACCGCGTTTCGTCTTGAGAATGGAGGAGGTGAACTCGCCGGCGACGAAGTGGAGCCGAAGTGAAGAAGGAAGAAGGTGAGGGTTTTTCTTTTCGTGACTGGGAGAGGGAAAAGTGAGGTTATTGCATATCGGGAGACACAAATGGGGATTCCAAGAGACTGAGAGACGGGATGGGCGCTGACACGATTAAGCGCGTGAACCCAGATTTGTAAAGTGGAAATTTTACAAAATTATTCGGGTACCAAATTAATTTTACCCAAATAATTTTGTGGGAGATATTTGTACACTCCAAAAAATCAACCGGGCCGGCCCAAGATGGCGCAGCCCAAGTCCTGAGAGGGCATGGCCCAGAGAAAGGCCTAGATCAGTAGATAAGCCCACGGTCAACAAGTAAACGGATAAGACACATTTTGAAAATAAGAAGAGGTTGGAGAGGTTGGAGAAAAATAAGGAGTAAAAATCTTATTTGAACAAAATTAGGAAATAAAAGCCGAAGGAGCTGAGGGACAGAATCTTATCTGAACAAGATTAGGGAAATAAAAGCCGAAGGAGTTGAGGGACGCAGCATCATCGATCATCTTCTTTCTGCATTAATTTTTTCCTTTGCAATTTTTAATTTCTACATAGTTTTCAGACTCTTACAATTTTCTCCCGTTAATTTCAATTTAATTTTTAGCGTTCATTTATATCTTACCTTCTCCCTTCGTTAACTTTTTCGGTTACGCGGGATAACCCGATTAAATCAATTTCGACAGGCTTTTCCGACTAAGCCGTTGATTGCGATTTTTTTACGACAACAGTAATATTATATTATACTCTCTGCACAAAGAATCATTTTTCCTTTTTTTGTTATTCCTATTAAAAAAAAGGACTAATTTCTATTTAGTAAATTATCAATTTTAAATATATTTAACAAATATGTATTAATTTAATTAAAATTTTAATATTTTATACCGATCTCTTTTATTTCTATCATTCTTTTCAATTAACAAATATTTTTATTTATCTAATTATAATTGTATTATATAAATTTTACTATCTATAAATTGATATTAGTATATATTTTATTAAATATAATATTAAAAAAATATATATATACCATCTTCATGCAAATATATGTTCATTTGACCGGATATAGATTTTAATAAAAGTCAATAATAGTGGTTCGAGATTTTAATAAAAAATGTAAAAGTATAATGATTTTTTACTTAAAAATAAAACGATATTATTTTTTTACGACAATTCAAAAAAAAAAAGTAAATGTAAATTTAAATGAGAAAAAAAATATTTTAATTTTATTTTACTTCTCACAAAAAGCTTTGGGTCTGTTTAAAAAAAAATTAATTTGAATTTGATATAAAAATAATATTTGATAAAATATTTTATAAAAGATTTTTTTTTTTTTTTCTAAAAATAGAGAATACAAATAGGGTGTGTTTGTTTGGGGATTTAATAAGATTTCTATTATTCATCCAATTTTTTCCTCCCAAAAACATCAAATCAAACACCTATTTTTCATTTTTTATATTATACTAAAAATTAATTTTACGTTCAAAACATCACATCAACACCTATTTATATCACATCATACAACTATTCAAATTCAAAATTTTTACTATTCAAATCCCAACTCAAAATCCAAACCCCCAAACAAACACACCCATAATAAACTACGGGAAACTCGGCTATACGTACCCTTCATCTTTGTCCGACGAAAGGAGTATTTATTTATATAATGTTAATAATGTTGTCAAATTCACTCGCTCAAGGTCTGCCTGCTACTACAGTGTAGTCACGTCAACTGATCAAGTTTTTGCAGAAAATGAAAAAAACAGTAGCAGGAGCAGCGCCAGAGTAGGCAGGCAGTGAAATACTACTACTACTCTTATCTTCTATCTATCTATGTATGTATACGCTCCCCTACCCCACCCCGCCCCACCCCACCCCTATGCCATTCCATTCCATGATCAGATAGTTGCCAAGCCCTAGGCCATCCATTCTGCTCTGCTGTCCAATTTTCCTCCCATTCCATTCTTTTATCTCTCTCTCCTCCTTGGAATCCATCCATCCATCCACCCCTTTTTCTAACTCACAATACAAAGCCAAATTCAAATTTATTAACCGAATAGAAGAGAAGAGAGGTGAAAGAAAATTTCCAAGTATATATCATACAACAACAACAACGTTACACTAGTTTGGTATTTTATTGTGTCTTGCCCTCCCCTCCTCCCTCTTGTGTTTCTTTTTATTTTTTTTAAGTTTATAGATGGAGCCATTGTAGATCAGAAAGCTAGGGGTGTGCAGTCATCAGCAAATTCTTTTTACCACGTCAGAATCACAAACTCCAGAGAAGAGAGCGGCCGCTTCCTTTTCTCTTGTATTTTTATTTATCTTTGCTGGTTTTTGTATTCACTTTCTCTCTCTCTTCTCTCTGTTTTCATTTTAGACGCCCCTTGTTTTTGCTTTCGAGATCTTCTTCTTGAGCAGAAGGGGGTTGGGGTTGGGGTTGGGGTTGCTTAATTATATTTGTGAGATGGATAGCTGCTGTTGCTGCTCTACCGATTGATTGAGAAATGGGGTGTGGAGAGAGCTGCAGGATTTCTTAAACTTCGCTGCTGTAAGTAAGCTTCTCTTTCTCTTTGTTGACATGTTACTTAGATTTGATTTGCACAAACAGAGGCCAGCAAACATCTTTGGATTTATTAAGCCATGGCTTCTCTCTCTCTCTCTCTCTCTCTCCCATAATTACAGAGATGGAGCCCTGCGTTGGGTTGGGTTGGGTTGGGTTGGAAGGTGGTGTGTATCCGCAGTTAGTTCTCTTCTTGGAGCTAATTGACTTGTGTTAGTATATAGAGATAGCTGTGGATTTATATAATATTTTTTACCGAGTATTATACATGTATGTATGTAATGTTGCTTATTGGGTTTATTAAGGGCATGTTAGTTTCGCGATTGGATTTCCAATCAACTATTCTTCTATTATTATTATTATTTTTTAAAATATCAAATCAAATTTTTATTTTTTATTTTTTATATTATATTAAAAATTAATTTTACAAATTAATTTTACAACATGAGATGAGATGGAGTACGTTACTATTATTATTATTATTATTATGTTGATAAGACAGGCAGACGGATAGATTGATGGCTATGAAGAAAACTCCAAGGCAAGAATGGAGCAATGAAGAGGACGGTGACTGTTGCGTACGGACATACGTGAAGCAGCAATAGGGAGGCGGAAAGTGGCAGCTGGTCGCCCTCCCTCAACCGCGACTGCTTGGAAAGGTGGAAGAAGTATCTCAAGAAAGGCAATAAATGGAAAAAGATCGCCGCTGAGCCAAGCCAAGAGGCTCGCCAAGTGCTGTGGTGGCAAGTCTACAAAGAAAAACGAAACAAACAGGTGCGTCACAGTCACAAGGCCTCAGACAGACGACACCAAGTAGCATCATATCTTGGAGACATTTGCCGAGAAGCTCGTCACAATGCCTCCCACTTCCAATGCTGGAGGAAGAGGAGGAGGAGGAGGATATCTTCATGATCAAGCATCCGTCCTTCCGTCTTGGCTAGTCAGTTCCAGCTCCAGCTCCAGCTCCAGCACCACTGCCACCATCAGGCCACCATCCCCATCTGTGACCTTAAGCCTTTCGCCGTTGACAGTCCCACCCATTCCGTGGCTGCAGCCTCCAGATAGATTACCCGACAATGCGCCACGTGGTATAGGGAACAACAACAATCTACACCCCCTGACCCCTCCAATGTCTGGAGAGGGCACGCTTGTCTCAGAGCTAGTAGAGTGCTGCAAAGACTTAGAAGAAGGGCACCGAGCATTGGCAGCCCACAGAAAAGAAGCTGCGTGGAGATTAAAAAGGGTTGAACTGCAGTTGGAATCAGACAAGGCCAGTCGAAGAAAGGAGAAAATGGAAGATATAGAGGCAAAAGTGAAAGCTCTAAGGGAAGAGGAAAAGGCTATGCTCGAACGGATAGAAAGCGAATACAGGGAACAATTGGCGGGCTTGAGGAGGGAAGCAGAAGCCAAAGAGCAGAAACTCGCCGAACAATGGGCTGCCAAGCACGTTCGACTCACCAAGTTTCTTGAGCAGATGGGATGCAGAACAACAGAGGCCAATGGACGCTAACCGGTTTGGTTTTTTCAAGGTAAGAGATGATTGAATGAATAATTTGTATGGTCGGTCTATCTGGTCTAGAATTTAGTTTTATTTATTTATGTGAAACTGAAACTTAAAATCTGCAGCAGCAAAGCTCGAGCTCGCTCTATGTATTTGGAGCTGGTTGAAGACAAGTAGTTAGTTAATTTAGTTGTCTTCCCTGATTTGCTTAGTTTAGTTAGTTTAAAAGAAGAAAACCTTGGGTATGGATTTTGTTTTGTTGTATGATCTATGGATTGGATTGGATTGAATTGTCCAGAAGTTGGGAGTAAGTCCACTTGACTTATATTCTAGATTTCAGCTTTCTTCTATTCGACAACCCTCCAACTCTATGTATGTATGTGCTCATAATTCATGAGGCACTCAGAAGTAGTAAGTAATGAATGCCATAAAACAAATACTAGTGTAGCGGATACATGATGAATATGCTGCAGTGGGAAACCAAAACATGAACATGTAAGATATAACAGCTAAAAGCTACAACAATAAGCCTTATTTATTCTCTAAAGGGACTTTCAGATACGTTATTTACCACTCAGGAAATAGTTCTATGTACAATTCAATTAGTGAGTGATAATTTTCAAGAGCAATAAAGAATTGGGAGATATACTGGCCGCACCTGGTAAGATGGATGGATTTTGCTTCTTCATTTATCTTCCATTTCCATCTGCAGGGAAATCTAGCAGAAACCTGAAACAGATCAAATTAATCTTAGGCCATGCCTAGAGATTTCAATATCTAAAGCATTGACAAATGCTACAACACCTTTCAACAATTACAACTTAGAAGCAAGTGGATGATGGGGTAGAGATATCTCAACACAACAGCTTACAGTAACCACTGGTCATATTCTACAATGATATTTGTTGGAAAATACAAGGCTAACTCCAAACTTTATTGTTCAAGTGATAGAACAGGAGTAAAGCATACCTACTACATAGATACAAGTCATCCCCGTCTTTGACGTCTGTAGACAAATTTTGTTACAGGAGGGTTTTCTTTGACCACTGTCTCTCCAAACCTTTTCTTGTCATCCGGGTACTGTTGCTCTATATTAACATCGAAATCAAGCTGCTTCTCCACAGATTTGAGAGCTGAAGTCCTCTCAAGACTTAACCTATAAGGAGGAGATGATTTAAATGACTTGCTTGATCCAAAATCCTCTTCCAAAGAAGGATCAGCACTATTGTCTTGCAATCCTGAGTTTTCGCAACTATTTTTGCAATGCTTATCATTGGATAAAACTGGTTCCTTGGGCTGCATTTCCAACTTCCTCTTTCTCAGTATGGATGGAATATTTGGGAAGCTTCTTGCAGCCAGTCTCAATATAGACTCGGGAGTTTGTGAAAGCAACATTCTGCTCTTCACACTTGGTGGAGTAAAGAACGTTGATGCTTCACTTGCATGAGTGATACCAGATTCTGGGTGCATCAAGGATACATTTGAAAGCCCCATATCTAGCAGACTATAATCGTCAACTATTGGTGGTTGATAGTATAACATGCCATGTGTTGGAGTATCATATTGCAATGAGGCTCCAACCACACGATACTGATCAATTTCACTGTATCTTACATGCTCCTCATTCTCAAACTCTACCCTGGAACGAATAATCTCTGCTTCTGGCTGCACTTCGTCACACTTGGTGCACGCAGCATTGGCAGAGTTGCTCTGCTGATTGACATCCTTATCCTTGGTGGCTGCCTCAGGCTTAAACTTCCCATCTTTACCTTCACATGAATCAGTAATTTCAAATGAAGCTACAACAGCTTCTTTTGAGCCAACAGATAGATCTCCATTTGCAGCTCCCCTATGGAGGTCTGCAGCACCATTTTTACATGAATCAGTAGTTTCTGATGAAGCAACAACTGCTGAATTCGATCCCTTACTTGAACCAAAAAATATATCTTCATTTGAAGTTTTCCTGTCGATGTCCGTACCACCATTTTGGAAAACAGTTTTGCTAACTGGAGGGAGGCTCCCAGTAGCAAGATAGAAATCTTTCTTCTTCTTCAAAGAACTGTTCCAGTGATTTTTTATGGCATTATCGGTCCTGCATAGATTACAATTCATAGCAGTTTTTGTTAATTTTCTTCTGAACATACAAAGCACAGACCAACTCTTGTAGTTCCTTATAAGACGAATATATAGAGAAATTGCAAGGTTTTCAATACATATTCATATATCACAATAACTATCACTTCAAATTTCTTAAATTAGTAATCTCAAGTATATTCTAGAACATACAAAATCCGTTGTGCTAAAATAGTGTTCCCAAAACCATCTGAACGGGGCAAAGATATATACGTGTGTGTGTGTGTGTGTATATATATATATATATAGGGAAAAGAACGGCCACAAGTACATGGAGAAACAATTTATCACTTGGAAGAAAATCTCAAAACAAGTACAATTAAGCATATTTCAGGTAAGGTCTCTTGCCAGAATAATATCGATTACTAAATATCTCTCACAGTAGTTTCCATCATGCTACAATATTTTTCCCTCAACCATTTTTATGTGGCAAAGATATATATATATATATATATATATATGGAAAAATCTGTCCAGTGAGTACATGGCGGAACAATTTATCACTTGGAAAAAAATTTCAACACAAGCACAATTAGGCATATTTTACCAATGCAACATTGAGTGCTAGTACCTCTCACTTATATACTGCACCCTCTCATGTTCATCCACCTTAGCCCCACAAAATTATCCCTTATTTAAGTATTAGTGTTATTTTACCCCATCGATACAATCTTTCTAAAAGCTTAACGTAAAAATTAAACATACTGGAATTAAAGAAGATGAAAGGGCGACAATACAAGCGACCAAGCAACAAGATAAATGGAATACATTGTAAACAAAGATTAATTAAAATTATTAAGTGATTCGTGATGAACTGCCTATCTTAGTTAGGGTACAAAAGCCTTAATTTATGCTCCACATATTTGCAGAAGAATGATACCTTCCAGGAAGCAGCTTAGCTAATTCAGCCCATTTATTCCCGTGAATCTGGTGTGCATTAAGCAGAATGAGCTCTTCATTCAAAGTCCAAGCATCCTTCTTAATATGTGGATTTAAATGATTGTGCCACCTGAGTTCACAAAGAGAGGGTTTGCTTGACCGCTACTATGAATCATGATAAAACATGTAATAGGGCTATGGATTTAATAAGATTGTGCTTATTTGTAAAGACATAAATTTTAATGAATAGGCCCTACTTAGAGATCTACACTGTATTTTTCAAACCAACTATTTAATTATCTGTATAATCTGCAGCAACTAAAAAATTTCCTTGCTGTACAAGCCACTTCTCTTGGATGGGTGAATATTTCAGGCAGAGCCCATATGCTTACTCATAAAATTTGTGTCTAGTTATTTGTATGCAGTGTATACATGATTAGTTAATGCCATGAGAATAATAGGAGAGACTTGTGTTAGTGTTTTATTCCTATACGATTCCCAAAAATATAAAGTATATAGTATGCAATATATACACATAATAATAAAAGTTAATAAAAATACACAAAAATTCAACAAAACATCATTCCTTGTAATACTCTCATAATTTCGCATACCTCACGACAAAAACACCTAGAACCAAATAGTAAACAAACATACTAATTTTCTAATAATCTTATTGCTAAAGATTTAATTTTTTGCAGGTGTAAGTTGTTACCTCTCACGGCATTGTTTCCCTATTCGACCCGGTAAGGACTTTGCAATGACAGACCATTTTGTAGGTCCATACCTAGCTACTAGCTGTTTGATTTTATCATCCTCCTGCAAGAAAAAGCTTGAAAACACAATTCTCCAATGACTAAGGCTGCATATATGGAGGAAAGGACTATTTCTACCAACCTCTTCAGTCCAGGGACCTTTAACAAGTTCTGGATTCAGAACTTTTTGCCATCGATGCAAGCACTGTACCTCTGATCTATCTGGAAAGAACTCAGCTATGTGCAAATAGACATCATTAATTTTAGTATATAATCAGATGGAATGAAAATTATAGTGAATAAAAATGAGTTCTTAGACTACAGTATGAATGTATTTAAGTTCAAATCATAAATCTTAAATGTTAAAAGAGACAGCTCAAATTAATTTCTCCTTGCAATCCAGAACCACCACTATTCAGGTATCTCCATACTGAATTTTGATAATATTATCTTGATTTACTATATGACTGCGTCCAATTTATTCAACTAACGCTTCTACATTGTGATAACTCAAAATATTGAAGTATTATTGATGATAACGTACATGGTACTGGTAGAGTGATCAACAGATTGAATCAACATGAAATCTTTTAAGAGTGTGTTTGTTTGGGGGTTTGGATTTTGATTTGAGATTTGAATAGTAAAAATTTTGAATTGTAATAGTTGTGATGTGATATAAATAAATATTGACGTGATGCTTTAATGTATAATTAATTTTTAGTATAATATAAAAAATAAAAAATAGGTGATTTATTTAATATTTTGGGGGAAAAAAATTGATGAACAGTAGAATTTTGAAAAAATCCAATAACGAAACACACCCTAAGAAAACTTCGATCAAAGGTGACATAATAAAAAATGTCCTACAGAAGTAGATAAATATTACAGCAATAGCAAAATGATTCACATTGAAAGTAGGAAATGTAAACTGCATTATGATAACATTGATGGCATCATGAGGGAATCGTACCTATTTTCTTCCAACACTTCCCTCTGAAAGTGGCAACAGCTTTTTTTAATGTATCATCCTGAAGAAAGATAGTTTTACACTTATTATATAGACTTATGCAGAATTTGGGCTGAAAACAAATAAATGTAAAGAACTAAAAGCCATAAAACACATCAAACTCTGCAACAACTTTTTCTAACAAGCATTGAAACACATTAACTCATACAACATAATGGTCTAGAGCCACAGCAAATTCTGTAGTCCCGACATAACAAACTAACATCCTTGTAGATAATCTCATACCTCCTGCGGAGTCCAACCTCCTTTTGCTCTTCTAATAGGGCCTGTAGTTCTTCTGCAATGCCCAAATAGTATAATTGATTGCAGATCATTAAATCTAAGAATTTCTAAATTTCAAACTCCAACAATTAGCAAAGTATAAACTAAGATATTCATTCTGTTCATCCCATGAATTCACACCAGATAAAAATTTGGGGAAGTAATGAATGATCAGTCACAACAACTATGCCTATGCAGTCCAGGAGCTACCATAGCATCGTCCATTATTTCTTTTTTGAGGTGTTTATCGACTCCACATAAATGATACAATATGATAAAGAATTGTAACTAACTTACTTCCCATGATTCGTTTTCTTTCCAAAAATAATATATTTATGGGATTATCAAGTAGAAGAGCATAATTATCCTCAAAGTTAAACACAAACACATTCCTGGCATACGTGATGCAACTTATTTTAAATAGCTGTTGGAACTACAATTGATAGACTAAAAATCTCACCTTTGTGCACCCAGTCGATCACATTAAAAAAGTACATAACACGAATTAATCTATAGAAATTTCTTGAATACTCACACGTGGTAGAGATATCAGGGAAAAAAACTACCTATGAGCTGGAGAAGGGCAGGCAGGACTACTAATGCAAGGCCCAATGCTATTACTATTCTCTGAAACAGAAGAACTTGAACCAGCAGTTGCAAAGTCTTTGTTCTGGCGGCAAAACTCAGCTAATTTCACCTCCTCCATTAATCCCAAATCTATATTCCAAAATCCAAATCATCGAATTAATACATAGATAACGAAATTAAGCATATCTAAGGGAATTTCTAAATTTAAATAACCAAATTTTCAGCTCTTACACTCACCTATGATATGCTAAGTCTAGATCTCAAAAGCCAATTAACATTCAATACAGAAAAACCTAGACTGTTCAAAGAATTTCTAACCAAATAAAACCAAACGGTACATGTGGTATCCCTACATCAATCAGCACTACTCATCTATAGAAAGAAACAGTTAATTTGATCAAACAACAACAATCAGTAACAAACGTGCACAGATTCACGAAGATAGAATTAAAGCACCCTCGAACAAAACCACAAAAAAAACCTTATGAATTGAAAACACAAGGTCATCCAATCTTCGGTTAACGGAAGCTGAGATTTTTTCCGAATTTAGAGAGAGAAATCCAGAGCTGCGCAGAACCTTGCCGTTGAAAGCAGAGAGACAGAAAAGGGATTATAAAGAATTTACATATTTTGTATGTAACGAATACTTACTCGAGGGTAGGTGACGGCGCCGTTAGCTTGGTGCAGTAGGATTAGAAGGAATGCCGTGACAGCGTATGACGGTCGCACGTGGCCGTTAGCTACGAAAGTTTGAACCTCAAACGGCACATTTCCTTCTTTAGCCACAAGTTAAACGTCGAGCGTTTCCACTGGAGCTGATAATGATTTTACACCGTCGATATGATAAGTAATCATCGGCGGAGATTCCATATCCTTGTAGCGTGATTGGTACGTCCTCACCGAACCGTAATGAGAAGGTCATTTTCGTAATTCCACTATGTAAACATTATCTATGGAGTACGAAATAATTAGATTTAATTAAAGAATATCTATCCGACTATAGAGTCGTGTATACGGATAGTTGTAAATTTTATATAATTTAATTGTTGTTATTAAATATATAATATTTTAGTATGAGAATTATTTGAATAAATTCAAATATTTTATAGGATTAATTTTTATATTACAAATATTAAAAATTGATAGATTTTATGAATTAAATAAAGTTATATTAATTTTTAGTTATATTAAATTATATAGCCCATTACGAAGAGTTAGTTGTTCGGCTTTAGTTTTGATTAATAGGAATATAAGTTGAAACCTCTAATTTATGTTTCAATGACAGGTAAGACGGTCAAGTTACCTGTGCCTATCTAGTCCGATTGTTTAGTCATTCTTTCTAAGAGATGACTATGTAAATAAAATTGATTAAATTTTTATAATATGAAAATAATTAATTGTTGGGACTGTATAAACAATAAAATCAAAGAATTATTTTACCAAAATTTTTAGCATAATTAGATAATATGGATCTAGTTAAACCAACTAATAGAATCCGCTATCATCTGACACTTAATTGTTTAACACTCCCAAATATTTTGTTAATTTTTTAATCAAATTTCAAATAAAATTATTAATTCTCGTAATATATAAAATCAAAATACAAAATTCAAATCTTATAAATAAACACATTATTTATATAATAATAAAATATATATAAAGTTAAATATAAATATACAATTAAAAATATAATACTCCATCTGTCTCGAAAAAATTATTGTATATAATATTAAAAATATTTTTATATTTAAATAATTTACTAAAAAATATAATTTTATATATATTACAAATAATTAATAAATATATATATATTTTTTTTATTTATACTATGTATTAATATAATAATTATATTAACGTATCAACACATAAAAAAAACCAATAGTGACTTTCTTGCGGGAAGTATAATACTTAGCCTCTTTCCCATCTTCCATCTCCTATTTCTTTTTTTTTTTTTATTAATCATTAATTATTTAAGTGGCCCACATTAAAAAAAGGGAAAAATAAATTCAAACAGGCGACGTGTCCGATTGGAATCTAGCGTAAATATATGTAGTAGATACGGATTCAAAATTCGCTACAATAATAAACGGGTTGAATTGATTTATTCAATTCAAACCTATTATAATATATTATTATTAATTTTTAGGGAATTTAAGTAGTATAAATTAATTATTTAAATAGTGAAAAATTAGTTATTTAATAATTAAAAAAAATTAAACACGTTTTTAAATATTTTTAACATTATATTTCAAAAAAATTTATACAATATGGATATCATTATACACAAAATAAAATTTATATAATAAAAATAAATAAAAAATATATATATTTATTTATCATTAATATAAATTAGTTTTATATAAAAAAATAGAAGTTTTAAATATAAATAAAAATACTCCTTCCGCCTATATTTGTCTATCCGTTTACTTTTTGTATAGAGTATTAGAAATATAGTATTATATTGAGACGTAGTAGAGATAAAGATAAAATGATTAAATTAACTTTATTAATTATTAGTATTGTATAGGATATAAATGCAATGACATTTGTGTAATATATTTAAATTGAAATCGTATTTGTAATATTATCTAGATAGTATAGTTACTAAAAATTGAAATGAATATTTGTTATGAGACAGATTAAAATGAAAAAATAGATAGTTTGTTAAGAGACGGATGAAGTATTTGTTAATTGAGGAGATAGAAATAAAGGGTGTGTTTGTTTGTGGGTTTTAGTTTTTGGGTTTGGATTTTTTAATAGTAAAAATTGAATTTGAATAATTATTTGATGTGATATGAATAGATGTTAGATGTGATTTTTTCAATGTAAAATAAATTTATAGTATTGTTGATGTATTTTTTCAACAAACAAAAAGTAAAATTCAAAGAACTTGATTAATTAGCGCCTGAGATTAAGAATCTCTAAACACTGTACGGTACATAAAAAGATTAATTGGAAATTAAAATGCTGAAAATTTTAAGTGGTGATCCCCAAATCTGACTTTGCTTTTGTTGAAGTTGATTGAAGATGCATTTTCTAGAAAAATCCAAATCCTTAAATATTCCTTGAGAAACGGTACTGGAAACCGTCGCCCGAACGGTTACAACGCCTCTTTTTCAACCGTCTGCTAACCCTTCTCCTGCTGACACGTGCCCTCAACCGACCGAAGTGTCATTCTTGCTCACTAGCAACAGTATCCGACTCTCTGTACCGACCGCAGACCTTCCGCCCTTTTGGCCCGACCGCGAATCTTCCGCCTTGTTGATCCAACTGCAAACCTCCCGACTTGCAGACCACCCGACTTGTTTGGTCCAGCCGCATACCTCCCGACTTACAGACCATCCGACTTGTTGGTCCAGCCGCATACCTCCCGACTTACAGACCATCCGACTTGTTGGTCCAGCCGCATACCTCCCGACTTACAGACCATCCGACTTGTTGGTCCAGCCGCATACCTCCCGACTGACAGACCATCCGACTTGTTTGGTCCAGCCGCAAACCTTCCGACTTATAGACCAACCGACCCGCAGACTTTCCGACCTGCGGACCACCCGACCTACGAACCTTCCGACTTGCGGACTACCCGACCTGCGGACCACCCGGCCTGCGAACCTTCCGACTTGCGGACCATCCGACCTGCGGACTACCCGACCTGCGGACCTTCCGACCTGCGGACCCTTCGACCTGCGGACCTTCCGACCTGTGGACCTTCCGTCTTGTGGATTTTCCGACCTGCGGACTTTCCGACCTACAAACCTTCCGACCTGCGGACCTTCCGTCTTGCGGACTTTCCGACCTGCAGACCTTCCGTCTTGGGGACTTTCCGACCTGCGGACCTTAGAAACATCTCTATTTCACCCAATTTTCTCACACTACCCCTCGATCAATCCAACCAACCCAATCATTGGCCCATGTTCTCCTTGTAACTTGGGCTTTTAACCTAATCATAATTTTCATACGTAACATTTATAATATAAATTAAAAAAATTAATTGTTTGATGTGATATTTTTTGAGGAAAAAAAGAATCTGAATACTAAAAATATGGGATAAAACCCACAAAAGAATACAACAAAAAAGTTTTGAGTGGATCCTACGTGTTAGAGGTTATAAAATTAATTGAATTAATTTATATTTGTTAATTGTATTTAAGATTAATATATTTACTAAAATTAAAAATGAATAATCTTTTGTGAGACAAACAAAAAAGAAAAGAATCATCTATGACGAACGGAGTACTATATATTATATATGTAAATATTTAAAAATATAATATAAATAATTTTTATTACATTTATTGTGTATGCATATGACTATTTTTTATTGAATTAGTAAATTTTAAAGATTGATTATTTAATTATTGTTTGATTTGCAAAATTTTAGGGCGTACTCTTTTAAAGCAAAATACACCGTATTTTTTCAAAACTATTTTTCTCTCAATCCCACTTAATTTGACAATTCTTTTTATATCCGTCCGTCCCATATATATTGTCTTTACTCTTTTGAAAATATAATTATACATTTTTCATCACATTTTAAAATTCATAATTTATAATTTTTTTTTTATCTTAATTAAACTATTTAGTTATCTTAATCTTAATCTATAATTATTTTTACTAATAAAATTTTTAATTACATACTAATTACATAATACCTAAAACTTCATACCCCAGCTAAAGTGGACAAATTAGCTGGGAGTGAGGGAGTAATATATCATATATTCATTATTTTAATATTCTCTACACCATTATCTATACCTCACGTAGAAAATACCCTTTCAAATTATCTCACAAAACAAACACACCTTTAATTTTACAAGAATTTTAAAGAATAACAAATTCTTTTCTGATTGATCAAATTTAAACGAATCGGATTAAACTCGACTGATCCCAACCTGACATGAGCCATTGCCGGTTCTAAAATGGATATATTGAGCGTAACAACGCTCTTTCTGACATGGCCCGACTGCGTATAATTATGCCCATAAACAATTTCCTTAGCCACAAAGTTCAATAGCAAACCAATGGTTCGGAATATAGGTGAAATAGTGCTGCAATAGTGCTGAAGTTAAGGGTGCTGCAATAGTGCTGAAGTTCCGCACAAATCGACAGTAGAAACTTGCAAGACCATAGAAACTGCGGACATCACGTACGCTAGTAGGTGTAGGCCACTCTTGGATGGCTGCAACCTTCACAGGATCTACACATACTCCATCTTTTCCTACAATGAAACCTAAAAAGTTGCACTTGTCGACACAAAAATCGCATTTTTTTAAGTTAGCATATAACTTTTTAGCACGTAAAACATCTAAAACTGCTTGTAAATGTTCAACATGTGTTTCAATAGAAGTACTACAAACAAGTATGCCATCAAAGTATACTACTACAAACTTATTTATAAAATTTCTTAAAACATGATTCATCAATCGCATGAACGTGCTTGGGGCATTAGTAAGTCTAAATGGCATAACTAACCACTCATATAGACAAAAAGAAGTCTTGAAGGCAGTTTTCCATTCATCACTTTGATTCATCCGAATTTGGTGATAGCCACTTTTTAAATTAATTTTTGAAAACATTACAGAACCACACACAAGCATGTTATTAATATAAGAATGAGATGACGA